TAGTGTCGATAAACTCCATTTTCGACGAGCTTTCTTTTGATATAAAATTCATTATGTCTTCTATTTGGAATCATAGCGGTACCCCCTTGAATAATATTATTTTCCACCCTGTACAATATTAAGATTTCCGATTCTTTCAAATTTCTATAGTTTTAATAAGTGTCGAGTATTAGATCAGTTCTTTATGATTCTAATAAGATTCGTTTATCACAAATACGACTTTTTCTTCACAATTGATAGCAACACTTTATCGATTGAGAACGTCTTTTTTTCTCCTATTTCAAAAGTATGTGAAATATTCTTCAATTATGTTTTTATTATTATTATCAATTAATTGTTATACAAGTGACACTACAAAACCTTTTTTGCCAGTCTGTTAAAAAAAAAACATTCACAGACTGGTTCTAGTTTTGTTTTTGACAATAAAAAGAAGTTAGATCGACGAATATACTATGATTAGCATATACTTCCGTATGATTGATGACAATAAGTTTCCTTGCGAATCTAGAATGTTTTACTTATCTGAGCTTTTATTTAATATTACTGTGATCAATCACTACGTATACTCAGAATGTCTTCTATTAATTTATATGTTCAGTGAGAATCATCTTCACTTATTGCTTGAACGTCATTAATTGTTTCTGCATAATCAGCGGCTGAAAGATAATCTGACCGAATCACATGAATTTCCTTGGTTGAAGTTCATGAAGCTTGTCGATTATGTCTTGTCTATACTGAAAAAGTATGACTTTCTGTGTACGTTGAATAAATATTCTGTTCACATAAAACCACAGTTCGAAACCATTCTCGTGAGTCATTTAAAAAACAGTATTTGACAGAAATGTAAGAATAAGACGTTCTACAAGTCCTAGAAGTTCGATATTTTGTATATATATCTATGAACTATAGCAGAATATTTGAACTGAATATACAACTTTTAGGAGGTCAGAACGAAAAAAACTTTTCTAGTGTCCTATATACATATTTTCTCAAGAATACAAATCGATTGGTGTGCAAATTGAAAATTAATTTGTCTCATTTAATAAGCGTCTAGATGATGATCATTCTTTTTATCTATCAGAGAAAAATTGATTTACTTGACTGATTGTATGCAATTATAACGACTTACGTATTTACACATAATCATCATCGTCCAGGACATATTGTCGATACAATTACCTTTTTTATCTTGTTTTTAAACTGTATGATTCATCACTGTTTATGTTACCACATAAAATATATGTACTTTTACTTTCAAGATTTATTATAAAACATTTCTTTTTGTATAGACAATTTGAAATATTTTTAATCATACATGACTATGAAATATTCATGATTAGAATGCAAGCACTAATTTGATTCATGTATTAGTTAAACAGGAGAGGAATTTAATTACTCAGTGGCTCTTTTTTACGGTGATGCGTGGATACTGTTTGTAACTTAACTGGAGCACGTATTCTAGGTGCACCATAAAATTGATATCCATGTGATAAATATGATAGAAAATTGTGGCCACCATTTGGATTTGCACGCATTGGACGAGGATTACTTCTATTTGGATTTCGAACCAGAATTTCTTCGAATGGGCGAGCTTGAGCAAGATGTCTTCTACGATGTTGTGCGCTTCGATTGTTGGACATTTTCCCACCTATTTGATAACGTGAATAATAAAAGAAAATGAATAAGATACAACTCTATTATATGTCTTGTAACAAGCAACGAAAGGATGAAAAAAACATTTTTTTTTTTTTTTTTTTTTTTTATATGCATACATAGGTAATTTTTTATTTCGTAAGATTGATAATGACAATAAATGATAAAAACATATTTTATCGAGAGCTACGTGAAACACTTCGTCGATTGCTTGATGATGGAGGTCTCGATACATGTGCTGGATAGGATGTAGGTGGTCGTGTAGCATTAACCTTGGTTCGATGCTTTTCAGCACTAGTTCTTACTCTGCTGTGAGAATGATGTCGCCGATCTTCTGCTGGAGTCAAGGCTTCATATTCATATAAAGAATTTGCATAATTAATAATTTCATTTGCGACTTTGTTGAAATGAAGACTTGTTTGATAACCCATACCAGTTGGTCTATTTGCCGTCATTATTTATTTATTTTATCCGAACACAAAAATTAGGTATAATTATAATGTTTAGTTTTAATTTATACCAATTATGAGAAGCAGTCGTCCGTAAATGCATGACTTGATATGTCACATGAAAGAAAAATATGATGTATGTACTTTTACAATTAAAGGTATACGAAGATGATTTCAAAGTCAGGAATGTTATGGAGGGCGAATCACTACTCCTGGTTTTTTCTATCGAAGTGGGTAAAATAGTCAAAAAAATATATATGTCAACTTTCGATCAATATTTTATCTAGATTTTCTTTTTCGGAGGAATGATTAAAATTGATTGATATTATGTCAAAGTATAGAAAGTTTGAGAAAAAACTCCATTCATATATTGGTAATCAGTACTAAAAGTGCTCTAAATGTTTCAGCGATCAAACTCCATCTTTTAATAACAATTGCCAAATGGTCAAAATAGTTTCGAACACGACGAGAAGAAATTGAAGATCAATCATGACTTGATCGACCTATAATTGAGATAAAATCTGAAAATATTGAAGAAGTTCGTTGCTTCATTGATGCAATACATGTGGAGACTGATATGAGTCGTAGGACTATCAAACGAATTACTTCAATTTAGCAAAATTCTGACAAGAAATTTAGTGATAATATGATGTAGTGACAAGTAACGAGTCATAGTTTTATCTTAAAACAAATTGATCGGAGATCATCGAAGGCTGCCTGGATATCAACTGAAGGAAACCCACCTATGGTGATCCAGCGTAATAGTTTTACTTCAAAACTTCTATTTTATATCTTTTTTCAAAACGACCAGTCCTGTTTTAATTCGTCATTTTGATTAAGGAAAGGTCATCCATCATCACTGTTACATCAATCATTGTTTGAAACTTCTGATCGAGGAAATCTGGAAGAAAACATCAACATCTTGAACATATGCCATATAACTTCATGACGAAAATGCAAAACTATATGAACATAAATATGTTGTAAACTATTTCGAATTTCTTTATTCGACCTGATTAAACAACATCTAGTTGATCAAAGCAACTTATAACTGTTGTATCCTGCTGTAAACAAGATCATTCATCGTATTAAAACGAAAATATATTTTGATCACATAATAAGATGTGACGAATATTATTGTTAGATGCTTTTTTTTTAGATATAAAGTCATTGTTTCTTTTTCTATTTTTTAGATTTAATAGAATTGAAATTTCAATTTTATTTGAATAAAAACTGTACATCGAATCATACTGATCATAGAATAAATACTTTTTTTGTATTTAAAGTTTTAATAAAGCATTTTTTGAATAGTTTAATGTTCGTTTGATCAAAATTTGTTGGAACTTTTCTGTGTTAATTTTATAAAAACAAAAAAAGTCTCGCAAGAACCAACTTTGAAGTTTAATAACAATGTATTTGTGATTTTGTTTCCGATAAGGTTAAGCACCTAGCTCAAATCCAGATATTGATTTTTAATGGTTAATGAAGTTTTCTATCTATTGTACTCTATAGCAAAATTTCATTGATGAACTATGATTATGAGGTTTCTAAAAACCTGAAAATCGTAGTTTTCAGGCTTCCGAAAACTATTGCTTAACAATACTGTTTTAAAAAACCTAGGACTTGCCGCATTTTCTACTATCTTTTCTCAAGAACTTGAAAGAATTACAAACACTAAAAACGACGTTTTTTAATAATTTTAACTTTTTAAGAGAATGTTGTAGAAAATGCGGCAATCCCTCATCTTATTCTCTCGAAAATGGCAATATTAAAAGATAGCCTTCGTGGTTCTGAAAAGTATCGTACTTTAGTTTTTTTTTTATAAACCTTACCACCAAATGTCATCTATGAAATTTTACTATAAAATGCATTACATAGAAAAAAAACTCTATTGACTATCACTAATTGCTTAATCTTATCGAAAAAAAAAATCAAAAATACGCTTTTGTTAAACTTTTCTCCACTACTTTGCATATATTCAATAGTGATTGCATATCAATCGAAGAAGACTCTTCCCCATAATACAACCTTTTTTATGAAATTATTTTCTTTTTCTCGTTATTTTTTTTTCTCTTTTTATGTTTTTTTGAAGGTTTTGGTTCTTTTCTTTTTTGTT